TTCTTGAACTCTTGATTCTTCTTTATTTGAACTTGAAATGACATCCTAGATGTCTCAACATAACTCCCCATAGATCCAATGACTTAAAACCAAGTCTCAAACTCCCTCAAGTCCACAGTTGACCTTGAGCTGACCAAATGAAACCCTAGGTGCACAACCTTTGACTGTGACCTCTTACAAGTGAAATAAATGTTTATATGAGCTCCACAATGGCTTACATAGCATTCAATGAGCTTCTCAAACACCTCTTATCCATAACCATGATCTTATAAACCCCTGACGAACCCTAATTGACCACCAAGATAGGAGATAAGCAGCATACATCCATCTTCTCTCTCAAAGAGCTATGATCACTTCCTGATCATTGTAAGCACTTGATGACTTGAATAAACACTCTTACCTGAGCTTGCAACCTTTGAGACTCTTCTCTTTAATGGCACACCTCTCTTGATCTCCTGTAAAGGATAATGCTATGCAAATGCAAATGCTAAAATGACAAGAAACATAATCCAAGTAAAGAAAAAGGTTGGTCAAATTTTGGGGTACAACACGGGGGAGAGTGGGTTGTTGCTGAGCCTCAGGAGCATTCCTCCCTCTTTTATTTTCACACTCAAGATGCCTTCACGACGGTGGGGGTCGAGGGAGACTTAAGGGTCCACTTTCCTGAGGCGAACGATCGAATATGCTCGGCCTACGGAGAAAGGTTCCCCATGTACGAGTTTATCTTCAAGGAGATCGGGTTGAGGCTGCCCTTCACGAACTTTCAAGTGGCAGTTTTCAGAAACCTAGATTTGGCGCCCTCCCAACCGCATCCAAACTTGATTGCTTTCATCCGGGCATTCGAGATAACATGTGAATTTTTGAAGATTGGAGCCACCCTCCCCCTCTTTTTCACCGTCTTCCATCTCCAACGCCAGGTTGTTGGGAGGCAGTTCGGATAGGTCTCCCTAAAGCAAGGGAGAAAATTATTCAAGCCTTTCTATGAGTCTATCAGAACGTTTAAGATGAGGTTTTACATAGTTAAGCCAGTGTCGGAGAGGGCCAATAACTCCTCGTTCTTCTGGGAGATTTCGACAGACGAGAGCAGGGAGCCCTTATCGACGAGCAGTGCAAGGTAAAGGGGTAGAGACTTTGCCTTTGTTGATGGCAAGCTATGGAAAGCTTGTGACCTTTGTTGATGGTTTCCTCCCTGCTCAGTGTGTGACTAGGAGCGGGGATATCATTTATGAAGAAAATGGAGGGCCTAAGGTGGAGACCCAATACATTAATACGAAAGATCTCCTCGAGTGCGGTACCTACAAGAATGCTCTGGAACTCCTGGGTATCCATTTATTTCTTAGCTTGATCGTATTGTTATTTTCCTTTTTTACTAACGTGTGCCTGTGGTTTTGCAGGTAACATGTCCATGGCATAGGAACGTATGGTGAAGAGTGTCCAAGCAAAGCTCAAGGTGGGCAAGAAGATCGGGAGAAGCAGTTCGGGCGAGCAAGTGGTTCCACCCCCGACGGGGTCGGGGACCTCATCCTCTGGAGTCGTAGCCACCCAGACCTCCCCTTGCAGATAACCTCGAGGCCCAAGCGCCCCCGGGCGGACGAGGTCCTCGACCTTACTCACGAGGGGGAGAAGAGAAAATTTGAGCTACCTATTTGCTTTCACAACAGGAGTTTCTTCGAAGGCTCCTCCCTCGCACTCCATCGGATGCAGTCCTTGAAGATCGAGGAGCTAGATCTTCCGAGCAAGAGGACATTGATGGCCTAAGACGCTGCTGCCCTAATGAGGGTGGTTGTCTACACCGAAGAGGGGGCCCTCCAAGAAGTGGAGCTGAAAAAGGTACAGGTCGCGGACGCGGTTCTGGAGGAAAAGTTAAAGGTTGCAGAGGAGACAATGAAGAATCCCATAGAGGAACTGGCCAAGGCCACCGAAGAGGCGGAGAAGAAGTATAAAGGTGAGTTGGTCAAGGTCACCAGGGAGAGGGATACCCTGGCCACAGAGAAAAAAGTCGCGAAGGACTTGTTCGCATCGTTGAGGGATGTCGCTACTCCTGCTAAGGATGAAAGTGATGAGGTGAAGAGTCTAAAGACTCAAGCCGAACTTGTTTCCCGTATCAGCCAGGCTGAGGAGGATTACGTAGGGGTCGTCGATGGGGATTTTAACAATATTGTGAGGCAGCTGAGGATTGCGAACCCCGGGGTCGAGTTGTCTACCGAGGGGATAGGGTTTCCTCACAGTGTGGTAGGCGGCCAAATCATCGTCCCAGACTTCCTCAAATTCAGCGAGGAGCATGAGCGGCCTGTCCGCGAGGAGCCTTAGCCTATGGCCGACTTATTTTCTCTTTGTTGTACTTCTGGTCTGCTTGTCGTATCTTTGTAATTTTATCCTTTTGGATGGGGCTTGGCCACTTCTTATTGTAACCAACACAATTGTGGTCCTTGTGGCCGTTTTATATGATAATATTTATTTTCGTCTGTGGTGGTCGGTTGTGCATGATTTGTTTTTGGTGCGTGTTTTTACTTTGCTTAAATTCGCTAAGTGTCGCACGTTGCCAATTACTTGTGCCTGTTGTATGGGCTATTTAAGTGAACGATTTCATTATGTTTTAGGGTTTGCTCGACAAATTGGTGTTCAACAGTGAGGGGAACTAGTCGAAAGGCCTGGGTTGTTTCCGGGCATGAGAGCGGAGCTCAGGTCATGTTTGTGGCCTGAGTTCGCGGCGTGAATTTCCCATCGCAAGTTGGGTGTTCTGTCTTTCGTGGTACGTTGGCGACGGCGGGCTTGATCGAGGGACCACTGTCGGGCAATGGGTTTGTTCGTTCTAGAGCAAAAGTCTGCCTTGATTTATTTTAGTATGCAACGCTTGCACCGGGACACACACTTCTGGTCGGTACATTATGCTCGTCGTGTTGACGGAGCATGCTGACAGTTATGGCCTTAGCTATAATATTGTTTTAACTTTTCGGCCTTCCATGGTCGAGTGAGTTCTTCCCCGTTGAGATGTTCTAAGTAGTAGGCCCCATTCTCTGTTTTTGCTCGAACACGATAGGGCCCTTTCCAGTTTGCGGCGAGTTTGCCTTCACGAAAATCTTTGTGATTTCTCCTTAGGATGAGACTGCCCACTTGAAAGTCTTGTCGTATGACTTTGGTGTTATGTCTAATTGCGATTTTTTGTTTTAATGAGGTCTCGCAGAGGGCAACTCCTAATCAGACCTCTTCGACGAGATCGAGCTCCTCCCTTAGTGTCTCGCTGTTGTTCTCCTCGTCCAGGGGAGCTTCAGTTCGCCTGGAGGGCACGTGTATTTCAATTGTCTTTGTAAGATAGGAGATGGTGGATTTCGTTTTTAATATCTTCGAGGGAGGTGAAATCGATGAGCTTAAATATTCGTCCGAGTGTAGAGTTGGAGAATGACACATTGTTGACATACTAGACGATGTTTATTTGTGACATTTTAGACATTTTCATTTTGTGTGAAATATAACATAAGAGAACTTTAATTTATAGATCAATATGGACCGCTCAATATCTGATATGCTGATTCAGAAGATATATCTCTAGTTCCACACCCTATTATCTTGTTTCGGAGATACGTCTCTGAAGCTTCTCCTGAACCAGTTCCAAAACAGAACCTTTAAAACAGAAAGAGATACTCAACATCAATCACTTTTTTTTCGTAATTGAAACGACCATTTACTTGATTCAATTAGTCCTTCAAATTACAGAATGTAAGATCAATTGTAACCCTAAACAAATTGCATATCCCTTTGTTGTAGAAAACTATAACTAAGTTAGAATTCATTTTGATTAGGTACGTAGTTAAGAGTTCATTATTTTGTATAGCGAATAAAAATAAACAAAACACATACTTTATACAAATTTGCGAGCATGGTAGTCTATAGAAATTGTTGGTGCTTTAAAATCCTCACAAACAACATTTTGAATATGAATATATTATATTTTGAACAATTATTTAAATAATCATATAAATATAAATTATAATACTTGAAGTAGTGTCTTATAAAATTGCCAATTGCTTCGTACTAAATTTTCAGGTAGCATTAAACTCCATATACATGTAATTTGAGGTGGCAATGCCACGAGCGAAATCGTCGGTCATATCAATATCACTGAAAATTGTAAGTACACCGCATACGTATAGGCGATACTTTTGTATGATAAGATGGTGTAGGCGTGTAGCTACCAAGAAAAACATAAAGACAAACCCAAAATTCAACTGTTTTTCTTCTTAGCTCTCAAATCTCAGCGACCTTTACATAATAAATTCGTATATGATTAATCAACTTTAGCAACATGTAACATTCGAGCAAGTCTTCCATGGCACAAAAATGTTAAGATACACAAAATTAAAAGAGACATTTTAATTACATCATTTACCCGTTGTCTTTTAAAATTGATTTGCTTTATGTGCATAAACAATTTTTATTTAGAGTTGTATATCCAAGTAAGTATTTACCCTTAAATTTGTCTTTGGTCACTTATAGAAGTAGCTTTTACCATCTAAACACAATGCATGAAGCACAATGCACATTCAACCATTATCATTGTGAATAACCCTTGTAGCATAGTAGTTCAAACTCATGCAGCATAAGTTTGTGAAAGATTTGTGTGAAACGATTACATTTATTTATTCAGGTACCTTCAAACTGAAGTTCAAAATTGCTAAGTCTAGTCTAGGAACTCGCAACAAGTAGAGAAGAAAATCATACTACAGATGCAAAGACTCAAAAATAAAATTTTAAAACACCAAATATACAATCTCAACTATTTTAGCAACACAAAAATTCAACTATGGCAACAATTTAGACCAAGCCACAGTCAATATTATCTGCATGTCACATTGGAGCTGTACTGTACCCATGAGCCCGCAGTATACAATCATGAGTACAAGTTCCTTACGGTGAGACACAGTTAGCTAATATCATCGCTCATCAGGAAAGGCGTAAATAACTTCGCGAGTATCTTATCTTGACCAACAAACAAATTGAAATCAAGGGGGGCCTTGAACCCCAGGGAAGAGTTCAGATATTTTATTGAAGACATCCATGACCTGAAAAGTGAAGAGAAAGACGGAAATGTCGATTCAATGTAGAAGAAGCTAAACATGCTTCTAAGAAAGACAAATTGAAGTCAAATGAGGATGACTATCATCATACCTCCTTATCATTTTGATATTTAGTAATACTCATTGGATTCTGTGAACACTGCAACCAAAACAAGCATTCAGAGATTTGATATGAAATATTAATGAAGTGGTACTTAAACTAGAACTTACATCCATTATAGCTTCTTGAACTCTGGGATTTTGAAATGCCATCGCAACATCAGGATTGGCCATAATCTTTGAAATGACTTCTTCTGGAGAAAGCCCAATTTGATCTGATGAAAATGATAACATGAAGTGTTAGAAAATGGGAAAGGGGAATGTAGAAAGATTCGCACTTAAAGAATTTACGAATTGATCCACCTCTCAAAAAAGACATGTCTTGTAAAATTAGAGACATAATAATAATAATAATAATAATTATTATTATTATTATTATTATTATTATTATTATTATAAAACTTACCAAATTGTCGTTTAATATCAGGACTATTAAGGTCGAAATTCTTTAAGGTGTCCATCATTCGACTGTCCCATTCAGTGCCTCCACCCATCTTGTTTCTGAAACCAAATAATATATAGGAGAAAGAAAAAGGGTGTATGAATCTCTAGTAGCCAGAGAATACTGTTTACCAATATATCACTGGAAAATGCATTGATTTATATAACTGCAGCACATAGAATGACACTTTAGGGAGAAATAACAAATAAGATTTACACTTTACTGCAACTATAGGTCTAAAATCAATTCAATGACAAGGAATCCAGACATAAGTAAACTCAAACGTGGGCCTTTTGCAAACTCAAAACAAAAGGTGGGCCTTTTTGTAGGTAGAAGGGTTCGTTTTGAGCCCTTATCATAAGGCATAAGTAAACTCAAAAGGGTTCCTTTTTGAAGGTAGAAGGGTTCGTCATCTCCTCAGGTAAGTAAACTCAAAAGGGTTCCCCTTTTTGAAGGTAGAAGGGTTCGTTTTGAGCCCTTGTCATAAAGCATAAGTAAACTCAAACACTTGAGCCCTTGTCATAAAGCATAAGTAAACTCAAACACTTGAGCCCTTATCATAAGGCATATGTAAACGTGGGCCTTTATCATAAGGCCTTTGGACCTGAGGAGATGAGCAAACGTGGTCCTTTTGCAAACGCGAGCCACTTTTATTTACCAAACCAAAGTACCACTTTTTCACTTCATTTTGTGTTTTCAATGAATTGCATATGAAACAATGAGCGTTCTATTGTTTTCATTGCTTCCTATACGTATCTTTGAAAATAGAAAACAGAGGTAAGACACGACAACATTTTTGTAATTAAGAGTGAATACAGAAAATGTTTCTTAAAAGTAAACAAACCCTTACTTTACAAATAACATCTGGATCCATGGAGCACGAAAATATTCAGTGGAGAAAAAAAGGCTCAGAAGATGCAATATAAAGAACTTACAGCATTACTTCAAGTTGCTGACGGTACTCGGGATTCTGCATCATCCCTGTCAAAAGCAGCAACAGTACATCAACTATCCATCAGCCAAACTTATTAACATGTCATGTGGAAATTATCATCTAGCAGTTGAAAGTGAGAAACATGACTTTTGAGTTTTGATCAACAGACTTAATTTAAACAACATAAATAGTGTTTCCATTATCATATATGGTACTAGTAATGAATGAAAAGACACCCATATAAATGTGTCGTATATAGAAAGTGTTGTATATGTGAGTATGCTCAAATGTGGTTGTGCATTAGTTATTTCAATGAAGGCACTAAACTAAGAAAATTATGGTGTGCACATTATAATCAATCTTAAAACATTGATTGACATTGCATAGAACCAGAAGCAAGAAAACTGTAAAGAGAATTACATTTGAAGGTAGAAGGGTTCCTCATTTCCTCAGGTAAATAGCTGCAACAGTGCCCAAAAATTATGAGTCTTCTTTTGGATAAAAAGGAAAACAAATTGAATAATATAAGCAAGCATGCAAATCTATAAATTTTCATCAAGGGGTCATGATGCAAAACACATTGGAAATCTGTCTGTTCATCACGAGAATATAGGAATAATGGGGAGCACCAACAAGCTCCACTCAATGGTAAGCAATTCAAAGAGCAGCAGCAAACCTAATACACGGTCTTTTGGAGATAAATGAAGTTAACTGGAAAGGGAAGTATTTCAACAGAAGCATCAGTTTTTGCAGAAAACTCGTGAGGCAAAAACATCCAATAAAATGTGGGAAAGAAACAATAAAAGGCTCAGGTAGATCAATGTAGAGTATCATAGGTACTGTTGGTACTTGGTACTACTGTCATAAGCATTTCTTAGATTAGACAGAACAACACACATAAACAATTTATGTAACCTTTTCTGATATATTCAAAAACTATGATTTACTTGAAGTTTAAAACTTATCCATGTTCACTAGAAATGGAAAATAATCATTATTAAAAGATAAAAGGAACTAATATTACGGATAAACCATCTTCTGCACTGTTGGGTCCTCCATCATTTTCTCTAAAGCATCCACCGATAAGGCTGATTTTCCTATCCAAAAATAAACAGGCACAGCAGCTCATTTATGACAACTTTGAAAGAACAGATATTACAAACACAAGGTGTTACATATTAACAAAAAGAAAAGGTATCAATCAATTGCAGCCTATAATGTCAATCTATGAAGAAAACAACGTGTCTACTAGTAATTACTCATGTGTGATTTATGACGTTGTTTCAACCCAGAGACTGAAAATCTGTAATCAGGGTGTTAGAAACCCAAGAATTGAGTTCTAAAGAAAGAACACTTTTTTTATTAAGAAATATGATAGAATAGGAGAGAGATTCTCTCAACTTAGATCCAACCACGGGGTCAAAAGTAAATGATATTGACAAGAAAGGCTCTCATATAAAAGATCAAATCATCAAAAGTACAAGGACAATGGTAAGTTTACATAATCCTACGTAAACTCGATAATTACAGAAATATTAAATCAATATACACAACTATAATAACATTAAAAGTCATCTATTTAACAGGCCAGGTCTACATCGCGCCATTACATTTCCTTGAAATTAAGCTTGAATAGATGTATGATGTATCACACTACACATGGTTTTCAGCAATAAAGCAGATATGTACATATTTTAAATTTCAACCGACTCCTTACTTACGTGTAGATAGAGAACTGGGTGAATCGCCAAAACCTTGGTTAAAGGGAGTTCCATTTTGAGAAGCCTTCAATAATGACCATTGTTATAACATGTTAAGGGCAAAACAAATCACGAACATTTTTAGAAAAAACTAGAATTTAAAAACTCACTTCAGCTGGAGCCCGGGCTTCCTTGAATGAACTTGATTCATCAACATCTTTAAATCTTTCAAAAGCATTCTTCTGCACAGTTTCTTCTGGAGACACATCTACAAAAGCTGCAATAAATAAATATTTATCAGGAAAGTTTAACTTGGAGCAAATTTATATGGGCACACTTCACAGTTTGTATAATTCATAACAGTATGTGGCCATTACAAATGGCTAAAAAAACTGGACCAGTTAACTAACATGATAGCATGCAAGCAAGGTTGAGAAAATAATAGGTTTGCACACACTCATGAATACTCCCAAATGATACAGACATAAAATGGAAGACAAATTCAACAAAAACTAAAACAGCTGATGCCTGTTTAGGGAGCACTCTCTAGTCTGTTAGAGGATACTTTCATGCAAGCAAAGCTTAAAAATAATGCAATGGCATATGCTCACTCAAGCTATTATAAGTTTATAACAAAAAAGAAAGCTGCAAGATATTATTCATGGAAAGACTAGTAATGCGTCCAATGGTAGGCTGAACCAATCGACAACAGTCATTTGGACATCAAGATAAACAAATTACAAGACTTTCACCTGAAGCTCGGCATAACAACCAATTCAATTTAATCTTGTCTAACACGAAAAGAAATAACAATGGCACTAATTTAAATAACCAGGCATAAAAGTAAAACTGAAGAGTGAGTGGGCACAGCTTTGACCTAAATTCTTAAAGCCGCATATACATCTCATATTGGACACAAAATCACACAACTTATAAATTGCAAATGTAGTACATGTCATCCAACAAGAAGAAGAATGGGAATCATGAGCAGAGATTGTATGTTACCAGATTTTTTTGGTTCATTCTTTACTTTCACTTCCTCTTTAACATTAATGTCTGGGGCCGGGGCTCCTGCTTCTACTTTGGTTGCAGGTATGTCTACTGTGACAGTAGATTGAGAGGCAGTTCGTGCAGGAGTTGCTTGAGATTGATTACCTGCAAAGCCGGCAGGTGTAGCAGGCCCTGAAGCTGAAGGCACTGGAAAGGGGAAGGGAGATCCAGGGGAAAAGGCACCACTGTCGTATGGATTATTTTGTGTATTCATCTGGCCCATCATGGTCTTGAAAGCTTGTTGCATTGCATATTTCTGAAAGAAGATTAAAACACAAATGTTGAAATTGTATAAAAAGGGTACCGAAGAGTTACAGGGTTAGTTATTGCAGTTATACAAAGAAACAACAAAAAATAAGGTTTGACAGAACATTTGTTGCAACTTCGTGTAAAACTTGAAGGTGAAAGACTTGCTCCTTTCACTCGGTCAATAAATCATTTGTTTGACTTAATATGCTCCCAATATCTTACAGTAGAACTCAAATGGCAGACCAGTTTAAACCCAAGCTTTGCAGTAAAGCGAAATTCACCTTTAATCTTGAAGCTACCTGCCAAAAAGAAATGGCCCTTAATATATTGAACAAATAAAAAAGATGAAAAATTAACATCAATATATGTAAAACTGAGTTTTGACTATGGTTCTCACCACTGAAAATAGTGCAGAAAACCCAACACCAACGCCAATCCAAAAGAGTGGTGACCCTCTAGAAATATTGTGAACAAGTAAATCCAAATTAGAATATATAAGCAAAATTAACAAACAAAATCAAATAAATATCTATTTAAAATCATATGGCATGGTATAAAACATCAAGAAATTCAAAATGTGAAAGTAAGAATAGTGTGATTACACAGTCGAAGGTGGAGGCGGCGATAACTGAGGGTTAACTCCAACTGATGTTGTTTCTTGACTACTCGAAGAAGAAATGCTAGCAAAAGTATGCGCATTCACCTTCCCCTGCACTGAATTCCCAACATGTATTACTCATGCATGGTAAAACATTGAAATACATTCAATTTGTATGGAAATTTTCATTATAACTATATCGATTCAACTTTAATTTCAATATAATTTCATAACCTAATGACCCTATTTCTGCTAAGCAAAAATCATATTCATAACATTGAAAAAATACCAGATTTTAGATTTTGGTGAGATTTAGAAGCAGCCGTGGTGACATGAGAGGATGAAGAGTTAGCAGAAACGCGAAACGTCCCGAAAGTGAAAGGCTTTCTTCTTGAGAAGACGTATTTGGAGGAGGAATGGCCCAAAAGCAGAGGTTTAGGGGAAGAAACAAGGGCTAAGTTAAGATTCTCCATTTCGAAGCTATGAAAACCGAAAAACGATGAAGAAGCGAAAGGGGTTTGAAAAATTAGGGGAAATTGAAGAGAGTTGAGAGTGGTTTGTGGCGGAGTGAGAGTGGTTTGTGGCGGAGTGAGAGTGGCGGAGAGTTTGGGTTTTGGGTTCGTTGTTTGCGGTAGGGATAAGTGAAAAACCGCAATTTATTAGTATTTTTGGAACAAGAGAAAATAACTATAATATGAAATAAAATGCAGGTAAAAAAATTTTAAATATGGGAAAATTAAAAAAGTGTGATTTTTTTTTAAAAAAAATATATCAAATACAAAATCGGCATTACTTTATTTATCCTGTGAGGGTGAAAACTCAAATTTTACACTTTGGATATATTATAAATGTATCTTTTGGCGTACTATTTCTCTTCATTTTATATTTGTCAATAACTAATTCAAATATGTATTAACAAAATTATTTCGAAAAAATTATGGAGTTGTATTTTTGGATTAATCATTGAAATCGTTTTATGTTTTACAAGTGAATCATCCATCTCAAATACTTTTAAATAATGGTTTGAAGATGCATCTCTATAAATTTTTAAGAATGAACATGTATATGCACCTTGGAAATAACCCCAGAAAGCATTTAGGAGATTTTGCCTTAGTGGTAGGTGTCCCAAATTTATATTTTTTAGGCCATTTACATTAAGAATATATTAACATTATGCAAATTATACTAATGTAATTCAAGAATGTCTTATATAAATTCAAAGAATGATACAAATTCAAACATTAATCAATTAATTGAAAACGTTATCATGATACATAATTTATTCACAAAATACAACTGTTACCGAAATACAAATACAAACAAACTATTGTGTATATCTAACCACTCGAGTTCTGCTCTGTTGCTTGTACCCCAAGGTATTTTGCGCCTTAGCTAAAATGGCATGTACGGCAGCCATACTAGAATTGTCTTCCTCAAATCTCATTTCTCTATGGCATCTCTCGCAATCATTACAATATGATGACAGACCGACAACAGGTCTTGGGGCTTGGTTGTCCCTAGCTTGTTCCTCTTCCAGTATCTCCTGATGAGTTGGTTTAGGTGGTGTTTCCGCAACATCTGGTGTCATGTAAAGATGTGACACTCGATACAATCATTGGATGTATCTCTTGCAACAACTTATGGATCAATAGTCGGCACACTGTGTGCATCATCTGGTACCAGATGACTATAAAAATCATCGAGTATGGCATCGAAAGGTAGACTGTCGGAGGAGCAGACACGGAGGCAGGTCTTGGAAAAATATGAAAAACCTGAATTGGTGTATGACCCACTCAGGCAGATGTAGAACATCAGGCGTGAAACACAAGCCAACCATCCATGACATAAGGCTATGTCTTCCAAGGGACGCATCTGATGATGAACGTCGTATTGGCATAAGCAAATGTCATCTGTTATAGTACGGTCAATAATCACACAGAACACTTGTATTACCTGATTCCCTTTGAACAAAGCAAATACCCAAACATTTGGCCAATCTTCAGTGATGTCCATCTCAGGTTCCCAATCGGATATGTGAGGAAAGTGATATGTGATTCACGCCTAAAAATGGTTCATATAAAATATTAGTAACAAGTGCAACACAAGTGTTATGAAAATATAAGTGACAGTAAAAGTTGCAAATATATTACCATAAGCAGTGTGCATCTTCTTGTATATTATCTTGTCTTCCAAAGATAATTTTCACCTAGTTTGGAGTAAATATAAACCAAACACGTGGCCCTCAGTTGTACTCGTGGTGTAACACTTTATTTCTCCAATGCATAATTATAATTAAATCAAACATTTTTCACAACATTCACACATAGGATGTTACACATCTCAAAACACACATCTGCTGACCATGTAACACTTAATTAAAATCAACATGCAACACCTGTCATCGCATACTCACCTTCAATTAGGGTATCATCGCAGTGGAAATACTCAATTAAAACATACAAATTTAAATCTCATAATAAATCTCATATCATAATTAAAAAGCATTAACTCGTAAGTCTTCTCCAAATGCTTATCACATCAAAACATAAAATATGAGAACATACATTTTATCTCAGAAATCTCAATATAAAACAAAGAAACCGCTCCACAATGTTACATATTAGAGCACAACCAAAGTTAAAACCAAGAAATTTAAAATAAATAGCTCTGACAACGAGCTTCCACTCACAGCAACGACTCTACTCTTGAGTACCTGCATGATGCCCATGTAAATGGAACATTCAAATAGAATGGGTGAGAAATCATATTCAATAATAACATGCATATACTACAAGTCTGCGAGGTAGGATATCAATACACAACATAATCTAATTAATCTCAATTCACAGTATATCAATTACATTCTCACACCAACTCATCAATTACAACTCATTCACTTACCAATCACATTGTTAGAAAAATAACAAAAAAAAACAAGTTTCTACGCATGCGGAAGCATACCCACACAAAAAAAGAAGCAAAAATTCAAACAAAAACTCATAAAATCATAATTCAACTTGTAATTTTTGCAAGGAGAAAATTACAAACTTCATACCATTGCAACTTTTAAGGAAAAAATTGCAAACCCTCCCAATTACAATTTTTGAACAAACTATTGTATACCCTCTCTCAACTACAATTTTTGGACGGAAAAATTGCAAACTCTCGCTCAACTATAATTTTTGGATGAAAAAATTGCAAACATTCGCTCAATTACAAATTTTTGGATGAAAAAATTGCAAACATTCGCTCAATTATAATTTTAGGATGGAAAAATTGCAAGCTCTCTCTCAACTATAATTTTTGGACGAAAAAATTGTAAATCTTCTCAACAGACTATTTTTGAATGGAAAAATAGAAAACTATCTCAACAAACAATTTTTGAATGGAAAAATAGAAAACATTCTCTAGACAAATAAGTATCTAAATTCCCAATACACCCAAAAGACTATATTTCGTTGTTGTGTTGAAAACTAAAACTAACTATCTCTCTTCACCCAAAGTCTCACATATCTTCACTTTGTCTTCAACTTCATATTCAAAACGATCATTATAATTATAATGATATGTCATATTTGTAAAATTATTACTCTTCAATCTTTTTATTTTCTCCATCCCTTGATCAGAATAATTGTTACTCTTCCTTCCTCCCTTGATCGTAACCTTGGCTTTGATACTAGTTGTTAGAAAATAACAAAAAAATAGAAAATAACAAAAAAACAAATTTCTACGCACGCAAAAGCATACTCACAAAAAGAAAATGAAGCAAAAATTTCAACAAAAACTCATAAAATCATGATTCAACTTGTAATTTTTATAAGAACAAAATTACAAACTCTCTCGTAAAATTGAAATTTTTAAGGAGAAAATTGCAAACCCTCTCAATTACAATTTTTGAATGAAAAAATTATAACTCACTCTCAACTACAACCTTTAGACGGAAAAATTGTAAACTCTCGCTCAACTATAAATTTTTAATGGAAAAATTGCAAACCCTTGCTCAATTATAATTTTTCGACGAAAACCCTCTCTCAACTACAATTTTTGGACGAAAAAATTACAAACTCTCTCAACAAACTATTTTTTAATAGAAAAATAGAAAACCCTCTCAAAAAACTATTTTTGAATGAAAAAGTAAAAAACATTCTCTAGACACATAACTACCCAAGTTCCCAATACACCTAAAAGATTACATTTTGTTGTTGGGTTGAAAACTAAAATTAACTATCTTTATTTATATTAATATTCAAATTCTATTTTCTTCCTAGTATCCGATGTGGGGCTTGGATGAATATACTATTTGACCCAACACACACGCGCGCGCACACACACACCAATTACACACAATATCAAAATCATATGCATTTATCTTATTATGCATCTCATACTTAAAATACAACTCAATGCAACTCTATGCATGTGGTACCAACTCAACAATGGTTCACTCAGAAATTGGATCCCCTCTCTGAACCCATGAGCCCCCCTCTCTAAGCTTGAGACAAGCTAATAGTCCCATCTCTGAACTAACAGATATGCCTCCTGACACAACTCTTATGATGCATGATCATATTATCAAATCAATGCGCTAAAACCCCTCTTTGATCCTAACATAAATGCATTGACAAATCAAGTAATCCCCTATATGAATTACATCACACCAAAATCACAAAATACACATCATCGGTCAATAATGCAACACAAGCATGCAAATAATTTATCTCAATAGAATTATATTTCAAACATTATAACAATACAACAAACATAACTCAAAATAATTCATATTCACAACATTTTCATATTTCATACTTATTTTTAATGTTTAACATTTGTTCATAGCAGCACAACTTGAGCACATATAATATTTCAACTCAATAAAATTATTAACTCGCATACATGCAACTCACCTTTAACTCAATAATACGCACCTCAACATGTATAATTTATCAACTCATACTCACAACTCATAAGTGAATTCATCATATCATTTATCGTCAACACAACTTCAATAATACATATAAGCTTCACCAATTAATCATATCAATACAACATATTCAGTCTCTAAATACATTATCACTTAGTAGGAAATCACGTTACCTTTCCAACGCTTCGAACGACACTCGATTTGGACTTTCAGAGTCAAAGTTATGGCCAAAACGATTTCGACCAAAAAACACGAATAGCGACTTCTGCGTTGAGCGCATCCCCCTGAACTAAGCGTGGTCATGACAGATAGAATGTAGAATTTTCTGCATTTTTCATCTTTTAAGGCCTTCTGGACCTCCAATTTAGATTCCGTAAAAACTCAAACGCTTAGATTATCTTAAGTTAATTCACAATTTTAACACAATTAAAACATCAAATCATTAATTTAAGGTTATGCCTAAAACTTTCGAAACTCTCAACAATGGTGAAATCATCCCAACACTAAAACAACAAATATAGCCACACATAGTGCACGAAAATCATCAATATT